TTTTTCCAAGTAGATAAATCGCTTCTTAAATATCTCAATTTCTCCCCCATACACCCACTCCCAACTTAATCTGTTAGAGACAAGTACATGGTTTAATTATTCCAACTCTGAGAGACTGATGAGACTGATGAGTTCAGCTTTCTTAAGAAAATGTTCCAAGAAAAGGAAAGAACTGTGGAAGATTTGAGAAGTCAGACAATTACAGTAGGTAACTATCACCTAGATGGTGGTAACTGAAGCACTGTCTCTCTGAAAGAGCATTTGGTGATAACAGAGGTCCAACTGGTTGCACATAAGCTTGGGTAATAAGAAGTGCCATTTGCACAAACAAGCAGCTGACAGTTATGTGCATCAGCCCAGTTCTCTGTGTTGTAAATTCTAAGCCTATGGTGAAAAGCCACTTGAGCCCAGCTCCTGGTGCTATTAGGAGATAGATAAATTTGGGTCCAGGGATAAGCACATGTCTACCAACATTCCTGATTTCTGATTAGATCAAGTAAAAAAATCCATCAGCAACTCTTTTCCAGCTTGTTTCCTCACAAGCAGGTGCTGATGTCTTGAACCCAACCACAAGTGCAGTGACAGCTAAGAAAGTGGGTAGAAACCCACTCTTTACCCCCTAAATCCATCTGGTTTCTGTAAAATCTGGACTGCTTGGAAGAGAAACAGAGTGATTGGAAAACTTGACCCCCAGAAGTAATAGGACTTTGGGTTTAGCGGATAATCTGTTCAAAAAACAAAGGAGATTTCAATCTCATTTTGACATTGATATAAACTAGTGCAGAAACTCAATTCATGTAACTTGCATGAGGTATTCATTCTCTACATCTATAACATGCAATATAATTGGCATAAAGAAACAGTAAGATCTGCCTCAAATGCGCAGACTTAGATGTACTGTTCTGCAAAGAAACATGAGTCATCACATTTGCAGACCCTTTCTTTACCCACTTTGGTGTCACTACCGATGGCAAAGCATGGTAACGTGCAATAACTTGAAAAAGTGCAACACCTTGAAAAAGTGCAACATGGAAGGCAAAACACCAGGCACTATTCCCTTCAGACTGAGAGACCTTGGTATACATCACTACTGCACAGTAAGATCATTACAGTTCAAAAACTTCCTTAGAGGGATGCGCTCCAAAGGCCTGGAGGAGGCGAGGTCTACAAATCACTGCCAGTCTGCTTATAAAAAAGTGTTGCCGTTGCTTCTCTGAGGAGGAGTAAAACAATAAAAGAAATTTATTTTATATGTAGATGGCTCAACATAATGCTCTTTTAACATCACTTTCTTGTAACCCATCTACGCACAACTATTTAAACGTTTGTTATAAAGTATGTATGGGGTGACTCATCCAGCTGAAGAATAAGCCTAATTGGTCAAACTTCCAGGACACTGTGTGCTGAGCTATAGAGAATCATAATAATCTCATCTATTAGGAGATGTGACAAGTTGCAGAAGCTATCTAAAATTCCTGGAAGAGGTAGCGTGAAATAAGAACTGTTGCCTGGGGACAATCTTTTCTTTACAATAATTAAAGAGCTCGGATCTGTCCTGTTCTGGATGAATGAAAAATATTCATGCATAAGCTTAGATTCTGGCTTTGGCTTGCTCATGCTAGAAAGCTTCCTAATAATTTATTAGACTCTTCAATAAAAGATAGCCAAAAGGCAGAATAAAGGGCATCTACAGATTTGACTGCCACGTCCATAAGGTCCCACACTTTCCCCAGAGACTCTCCTCTTCTTTGTAATGCAGCTATGACTCAGGATTAAAAAAAAAAAAGAAAAAAGAAAAAACCAAGAACTTGGGAAGTGTCCTTCTCTAAGAATGTTCCCATATCTAGTGATCAGAAGAGCAGAAAGTACTTCCCAGATTGAAAGAAGAACGTTAAAAAATGCTCCAAAGAGATACAAGTGAGTGGGGAACACAGTCATAGATATGGCATTTTTCCACAAACACTCATTAATGATAGGGACTCACTTTGTCAAGTTTCTGTTTGAACTGATGATAATTTTGCCTTTTGAGTGCAAAATAAAGCCTCTCTCTTTGCAGTCTACTAAAAGTAGAGTAATGGCAGGCAGAAGATGACCTCTTGGCTATTTCTTTACAGTCGTACCATCCTGCCTGTTCCCCCAGTGCGCAGGTATGAGGTGGAGACACATACTGCTCCTCACATGCAGTAGAACAGCAGTATCAAAATGGTTCCTTATGAAAATCCTTGAATTTAAGCATTATGCTGCACTCATACAAGTTGTACGTCGGGTGGAAGAACATGCAGTCTGACACGTGTTACTGGATACAGATCTCACGGATTTGGAGTGCGCTCAGCTAATAGACTGGCTCAAGTACAGGGTGATACTTTAATCAGTGAACTAGGAAGAAAGTGTGAATATTTCCAACACGTCTATTGGAAAGCTACACAAAGCAACCAGCCAGCAACAGAAAATACGGTGATCTCATTTATATTTTAAAATTGCAGCCAAACTGAGATAATAAAAGTATTTACTATGATTTCCTCTTACAAGAAACAAATGTAATATGATTTCATCAGTACCAAATAATAGGCTTGCTTATAACCAGAGGGCAGTATTTTTAATAACTTCACTAAAAATATAAACTGTTATAAAAATGTGGTGCAATAAAAAAAAAAAGTACAAAAGGTAATAAAATATTACCTATTATCTCAGCTCATTTTTGTCAGAAAATAATACTACAAACTTAATATGATACATGGAAGCGTTATGAAAAGCAGGCAGGGAGAGGCTTATAGTCTTATCCAGCATTAGATGAGAGGCTGACTGATTAATAAGTTGACATTGAACAGCAGAGAATGGAAATCATATGGACTTTAGGGAAAGGAAATAGCTTAAAAATGAAACTGTCATGTTGCCAGGCTGCATAGGAAGAGCCACGGCTCCCACTGCCATCCCCACTGTGCAGCAAAGGGCAGCTTAAACCTTCATGTTGGTGCCAGTGCTGTGCATGCTCCCAGAGCCTCCCACTTCCCTGTGCTTGCTGCTGCATCAGTCCTTGTGCACACATGGGCAAAAGCAAAGGTCAAACAGCACAGAAAATAGGAATGGAAAATGTAATCCAAAAGAATTTGAATGCAACAGCAAGCTGAGGACTTGAAGAAAGGGAAAAATAACTTATGGAAGGAGCTGATGAAAGGAAATACATCCTTTGTAGTGGATGAGCTACACTTCTAACTTTGGGGGCTTCAGAGTGCATAGTGTGTAGGCTTCATTGCTTTCTTAACTAACAGAGCTTTTGATGGCACCAAACCCTGGTCTAACACTCACACCAATGTTGTTCAGGGCTGCAGGATTAAGTTCTAAATACCCAGTGATGCACCACCACTTCCAGTATCAACAATAATGCCATTTCTTGAGGGTCAGAACCCAACCCTTCCCAGAGACTCTACATTTTACTGTTGTTTCTCAGGCACATTGTGTCTGGTTCCGATTTGTATGTTGTTCATGATGGAAAATGTCTGTTGTGGTATCCAAGACTGGGGATTTCAGCACAGCTAATTTGCTGTGTACTTTACCAGTGGTAACAATGAACTTGGCTATGCATGCAGCAAGATCAGTGAAGAATTTAGTTGAAATCAATAGCATGTAAATCCTTTGTAATTTAGATCAAAATATGGAATCTCCACTGGAAAAAAAAAATAGAAAAAGGAAGCTATACACAATTATTCACAGACTCCTTAGAAATAGATCATAGTTTTAAATATCATGGATGAAAGCTACAGAATTCTTGTGAAATAAATTATTGAATTTCTGCAGAGAACAGCAGCAGTACCATTCTGTGGTGCTTCAGAAAGAGTAGCTGAAATTTTTTCCTTTCAGTCAGTTCAATAAGCCTGATCCCTCTTTTTAGAAATGAAGAATGATAACAAGTCTTCCTAGATCACATTATAATTTTGAAAGTAATACTGTCTTCTAAATTACTAGAAAATAATTACAATAAACTTCTCTACTGCTAGCAAGATTAAGAACAACTAGGCCAAATGGAAGCTACTTCAGGCAATTATTCAGTTGCTTGGGAGAATTCCTGTTAATTGTTGAGAATCATGTTCCATTCTAAAAATGTATAAGCCCCATCTCAGTTTTTCAAGGAGAAGAACTATTAATTAGGCACTGCCGAGCCTCTACATTTTCTACTTAAATCATGGATATTTCCTCTGGCTTTAGAACTGTGAAATCATATCTTGCATTATTTTTTTTCCCACCTTTCATGCTCTGTGCTTTAATAAAAGCATCCTATCTTTTCAATGAAAAGGCAGCAAATACTAGCTGCTACATGCTTGGAGTCTAATTTTAGGAGGAACTGAGCCATTCTAATTTGCTGCAGTCAACAGGAACTGAAGGCACTCAATAATTCACGAGTTTCTTTCCACGTTTCAGTAGAGCCTGTTGAAAATTTCTCAAGGAAACACTTTTCCTCAGAAAATTCTAATTCCTGTGAACCAGAACTGCTTACTGAACAAGTTATGCTTGGATACTTTCTAACATCTCTTCTTTTATCCAGTTTGAGTTTTCATCTATAATGAAATAAATGCATAATAAAAAAAATATTTTAAATATTAACAGGGTTACTTTACTACAAAACAAAAGAATTTCTGAAAGATGACAAACCGTTTCAATCCATTTTCTCCCTTTTTTTTCTTAAACACAAATGTTTGAGGAGGAAAAAAAAAGATTTAAGTCTTTTTTTTTTTTTTTTTTTTTCCAACTTTCAGTTTGTGCTGGAAAACATTTTCATCACTCTTCCTGGGAGAAGAAAACCATTTCCTATAATATCTAGATATAAAGGTATTTTCAAGCCCGTCCTAAAAATAAACAGCTTCGTATTCACTCAGATAAACCTCTATTTGACACAAGTGATGACAGGAGCATTAAATTTGTTGTGTCTTTACTGTCAGTTTGATTTAGCATTTTTAAAATGAATGGCATTCACATCAGAAGGCAGCAGGATAATCATTTCTTACCTTTAGTCTTTCTGTTACACCATCAGTGAAACTGACTGTGAATTCAGCAATTTTGGGCACTCTGAGTTTTCCTTTGTTCTTCTGGTCAGGCTGGTACTCTGTTCTTGTTTTCACAATTACCTGGAAAACATCAACATTTTTAAGGTTCCTGCACACAGCATATGCTTTTTTGTTGTTGTTGTTATTATCTAAGCCATTGCTTTTCTACTCCAACTTCCCCTTGAACCTACAGCAGGATCTCATAACCGTCAATACAAGCTCATAACTCCCTCAGGAACTAAAATACAGATAAACAGACAAGCAGATAACAGAGACATCAGACCATCTTAACATAGCTGAGAGCAAAATGCTTAAGCCCACTGTTGTTTAGGGTCGGGCATGCAATTTTTATACAGTATTCAATGGACAGAAGATGTAAAACAACAAACAGCTCAAAGATAAGAAACTCGCGTATTAAAAGCCCTGGCCTAACAAGTTCCACTAACCCCAACTTAAAGTTAGGCTGTTTGGCCTCTCATTTATTCAGGCTCCATATTATCAATATTAATCTCATTCTATCACCTTGGGTTTTCCCCAGAAGATCTCAGTGCCATTTGCTGACTAATCCAGTTCCTGCTAATCTTATAAAACCAAGGTGGCTTGCGCCAGTGGAGCCGTCTGCAAGTGGTTTTAAAAGGGTACAGACAAATTACCAAAATTGCATTTTCAATCTGCACTGAATTTATTTGTAACCTAGAATGATCCGAAATATTTTGGGTAAAACGCATCCCACCACTGTCACCATGACAACCACAAACACAGAAAATATAACACCTAATGCCAACTGCTCCCAGAGAGCTGCGCACTGAAATCAATAGTCCTGATGTATTAGTGAGCATATCCATCCTATTATACATGCCTAAAAGACTACTCAACCATGAGTCTGTGCAAGAAAACGCTGTGAGAGGATGCCAGCACAGATGCACTGTCTTAATCTAGCTAGGGAATGCTGGAAGAGGCAAAATGTCCATCCTCAGCACCAGCTGAACTCATCCCTGCAGAAGTGGGGTTGTGGCTCTGAGCAACCACAAACAATGGTGGATGCACAGCATTCCATCAGCCAGGTCCACAAGGCACAGAACAGTTTGGTGTGACTTGCAAGGCGCAGAGAGATTAAGTACATTAAAGCTCCACATGACAAGGCAAGCACTTCCACGTTCTGGCCTCCCATTCTTAATTGCAGATCTACGCAGGTGTTAGCCTTGCCAAGGTGAGAATAAAACACTAGAGGAGGTCACAGAGAAGTAAGGCAGATCCTAAAGCTCTGCCTTAGAAACAAAATCTTGAAGGTTTGTAGAGAAAGATTATAAGGCAATCTATGAGCTTGAGTTACCAGCTAATGAAGAACTTTTATGCAAGTGAAGACAGTAAAGTGTGGTTTGGACCACAGAAAACCCCAGGTATTTAATTTTCTAGCACTTAATGCCACATGGAAATCAGAGTGAGAGAAAATCAGCATGGAGTCATAAGCCAATTTTCTGGATTCAAATGCAAATCATTAAAGACTAATGAATATTTACATCCGTCAGTAAATCCCTCTCCATAACATTTATTTACTGCAGCAGTATTTGCAACATTAAGTCTTGAACAGAGAATAAAAAAACCCACACAAATATATCTGTGTTAGCATTTTGGATCTCAGGACTTGTAATGACACAATGTACATGCTAGGATGTAACATATGGAGACAAGTTTGATTCAGCATATTTGGGATGAACCCTAACTCCACAACGACTCTACTACTGAATTGACCCCTGCTGTGCTCTGAAATGCACCCTGACACACTTTGGACCAAACCAAACAACGCTCCCTCTCCAGTCAGGACAAGCTTGCCCATTTAGCTCTGTATTAGCAATAAGCACCAACCCCATTCCCTTGCCCAGAAGAAGGCAGGTGTACTCAGGACTGCATACAGCTGGGCCCTAGCTTCCAGTCAAGGAAAGGCCTTTTGTAACCCAGTACAGTAAATTATAGAGTCAGCCATCAACACCTGCCAACCAGGGCTCAGAAACTCTGCTCACTCTGCTTTTAAATCTACCAACCACAATACCAAATTGTCACCAATCCATGCTTCCTGCTTGATAAATAATGCTGTTGCTAATAAAATCTTTAAATAGGATATTCCTATAAGCTCTAACATTAGGTCTTAGAGAAGATCCGTGGCACCAGAAAAAAAAGAAAAAAAGAAATTAAAAGCCTGACATGTTTTAATATATATAATTGAATTTTTCTTCCACTCTTTGTCATCACATTCAACGAATATATCTTAAGCAGGTAAGTATGAAATACGCTTTCTACATACATGCATTTACATACATGCATGAGATTGAAAATAAACCCACTCAACCCTGCAATTAGGCATCAGGTCCAAGTCCAGTAGAAACATCTATCAGGTTTGGGAATAAGTAAATCAGATCAGCTCCCAGGGAGATCAAAAGCTGCTTGAAACCCAATTTGCTGATTGTGCCAGCAGTGAGATTCGTGTGCGTAGAACCACAGACATCATTGGTCAGTGTTCTGCAGGGACATTTGCAGAGGTATCAAACGGCTTTAGTAGAGGACCGAAGAAATACCTTAGCTAAATGCCTTTTGGCACTGCAAAAGCTAAATAGCTGCTCTGCAGAAATATCTTTGTCAGACACCTGGTGGAATTACTCAGCAGAAGAAAGGGCAGTCAGTGAGGTCTCCTCTTAAAGGAGAGCACAGAAATAAAATGAGAAAGAAAAAACAGAAAACTGAAGACCTGCAGCATGGGGGTAACGCTCAATATTGTGGCAGTAAGGATAAAAATGCAATTTTGCTGAGGGCCCTGGGCGCACATTTAGAAGAAAAGAGCTACGTCTTGTTCAGTCGCCTACAGTCTAAATAAATAAGGCAGAGTACAGATCCCTCTGCTGCAGCAATGCTCACCCCCTCCATCCAACAAGCTGCCATCAGGAAGCCCACGCAAAGGCTTCTGGAAATTGAGTTGTGTTCATCAAATGCTTGTGCCTCTGGCTCTAGTGAGAGCACCCCAGGCAGGGCTGCCTCGGCAGCACCTGGGAGTAGGGGTAAGCACAGTCAGGTGGTAACGTACACATGGAAAGAATAATGAGTCTCATAAAGAAATATTTCCTGTATTTTTTGCATGATTGCTGCTATTTTGGTTGTTTGTTCTGTTTTCACTTTCTACTTTTCTGACTCAGGTTGCTAGGGTGGGACAGGGTTTCTGCCTTCCCCCCCCCCCCCCCCCCAGTTTCCCTGCCATCACTTCTATTTCATTTTTTCTTCCCATTTTATCATAGAGAAAAAAAAAAAAAATCCCTGGCAGCGAAGTCTTCCAGAAATTGTAACCAAATTGCTGTTGGATGTACGGTAATAAAACCCCCACTGACTCCACAGCCATGGCAATGATCAGAGCTCATTTATCACCGGCTGCCCCAGAGCAGTTCCATCAGAGACCAGGATCCTACTGTTTCACTGCAAACAAGGCACATTCATCTCACTCCACGACATGTTTCTTGGGAGAGGGATGAGCGTTTATTACAAACCACAGCAAACAACGATCCTGATTCTCTCTTCTTGCTCATTTTTTGCTGACTTTGGTAGAGTTGATCTTGACAGAAACTGGAGAAAGGGGGATATAAAACTGGGGTCCTGTGTAGGTTACACTTCAAAGCAAACTGAAGTGGGAGAAATGCCCAGCACTTCATTCCCTTCTCTGCAATGCTATTACAGTGAAAATGTGCTGCAGTAAGAGGGTAAGTACCAGAGCTGGCAGCAGGGCTTGGTTCTGCTCCAGCCTCATGAGAACAGACAACAAACACAAACAATCAAATCAGTGTTTAATTGGACAAGAAGTCTCTTGGATACTCCCAAAATAGACCATGAGTGCCTTTGCCACCCCTAGCACAGCAACACCATTCAGCCCATCCTCTGCACTTGTCTTCCTGAATTCTCACCTCCTCCTGCACACTCTCTAAATCTTAACTCATACTCCTCGTGATTAAACATTGGGCTGTTCTGGGTCACCATCCATAACAGTGTGAGCTTTCTGTGGCAGAGAACTGTTACTCTTCTTTTCATTCATCACACAGAACAACTTGCACATCTACAAATAAAATATTAAAAAGCAAGAACTGTCCCACCAATCAGCCTTATGGACTAAGACTTTGTGATTGCCTTAGAACAGTCCTGGATGCCTATCAGCCTTCCTGTTTCTTCATCTAAACCCTGATCCAACATATTCTTATGCCTCGTTATGTATTGAGTTCATCCACGAAGCAGAGCAGCCATCCTGCCAGCTCATCCCAGCACAGCTGTATGCCTTTAAAGCCTGCATTGTGGATGGAGTCTGGATAAACATCATCTCAGAACATCTCCCTGCAAATTAGGCTGCTGTTATATCCCATTCTCAAAGTTTTCACACTGCTTCCCAGAGAACTTTCACTTTTAACTGCAGATACACCGTGCCATGGCAGATAAAATAAGGAGGACACAAGCAAATTACCTGGGACTTTCTTCATTTTACACTCAAGATCAAACTGTTCTTTGAAAGTTGCTTCCTAGAGAAGTTGACAGAGGAGATTACAAGAACACAAGAGAAAAGGGCATCCACAGAGCAGCAAAAAGACACATCTAATTACAAGAATCCACATGCCAAGTCCTGGCAGCTTCCTCCAAAGCTAAGTTTATCTAGCATTTGAACTCATTAAATTCTAATTCAGTGAAGCTTTTAAGCTTGCACGTAGTCTTATTAACACCAGCAGGATTAGTCAGATATTTAATGTTAAGTGTGCATTTAAGTGCTTTGGCCAGAACAGAGCTTAAATCTGCTCCGATCACCTTCCCACAGCCAACTTTAACTATGAGGCACGGGGCTCCTGGGGCATTCTTCTGCAGGACCACTCCAAGAGCTTCCCACAGCAGCATGGGCCCAGTATCTGCAGGGGCAGCCAGGGGAAAAGCTTAGTGATGTGCTGAGTCACACCAGCAACCTGTGGCTGCTGCTGACAGAGCTCAGGTTTTCATTAACTGGGCAATAATAGCTCTGTATAAATGTAACATTCTTGGGATTAAGCGTAGGCAAGTGATACGGCTAG